CGAGACCTCCAGGCTAGGGTGCGCTGTGGTGGGATCCAAAGTCACGTCCACTGAGCGGAAGCATAGGGTTAGTACCTCCTGGGAAAGGTTCAGACAACTCCCCTTCTCTCCCCTCCATTCCTCTCCCTTTTGCTCCCTGTTTCTCCTCCTCTTTCCTGCCCTCCCTCCTCTTCCCTCTTCTTCCCTCCCCTCCTTTCAGAAATCTTCTAGTTTCTCCTGATGGAACTGTTGGAATTGTGTGCTGGAGAATACACACACACACACACACACACACACACACACACACTATATCAACTACCCCTCTTCTCAGAGTGGCACACTCCTGAAGCTTATTGCTTTCCTAACAGAAAAGTCCCGGAATCCCATTCTTAGGTTGCAAATGAGATAGGTTAAGCCTTTTGCGGCCTCTATTTCCTCTGGTTCCACCACCAGGTCTGAACAGCAGCACGCTGTACCTGGGCTTTACAGTAATTTTAGGACTCTTAAAACTACAGGGAACCTCTGAGGTCATCGAATCTAATGACCTACACTCCAACACCCATGCTCCAAACACATCTATCCACTCTATGGTTGAGAAATTGGAGCATACACACCCCCCCACCCGCACCCTACACAACTGCAAATACCCACCCACTGGTTTCTTGAGACAAGGTCTCCCTGATTAGTCCAGGTTGATCTTGACTCATGAGCTTCCTGCCTCAGCCTCCCAAAGCTGGGATTTCAGGTGCCTGAGGGGCCCCTTTCTGAGGAATGATCTGAGAGCTTCCTTTCAGACTCTGCCCTTTCTTTTGCAAACAGATTCCAGAAGCAGCCTTCCTGCCCTTAGGAAATGAACACAGTGAACCCCCAAAAGCTGTGCCTGTGTGTGAACAGCTTGTGTATGAAACATGTGCACATGAGAGTGTGCGGCGTGCTGTACGTATACTGTGTTCATTTCCAGGAGACAGACTTGGCTCCTGGAAAAACCCCTCCTCTAATGTCAGAAACCACCCTGTCCCTTCTATGCAAGACCCAACTCAACTCTGCCACCAGTCACACTTACGCAGCAGCTTCGGTTACTTACCCGCATATCGCTGGGCTGCTCTCCACTCTGAAACCAAAGAGAGGGAAGGGACTCAGAGAACTCAGCCAGCAAACTTAGGGAGCTAGCTCACACAGGATGCAGGTGGACAGAGCCTCATCATGGCTGAAGGCAGGGTGATGGCTTTCTGGGAAACTTTTGTCTAACTGACAGCCTAATCTCCCTTCCTGGTTGTACCTCCTAGAGACAAATGGCGATTGGACGACACACTTAAGGCTTGTTCATTGTGGTTTGCAGTGGTATACAGTGAGAACCAGAAAGAAGAAATGGACCTAACACACATATGAGGTGGATATTTGAACAGTGATGCATGTATAAAGCAAGGGACAGGCAGCATGAGACTATAAACGATGTCTACTCAACCCTAAACTGCATGTGACAAAGTGGAAATTCAGATTTACAAGAATATATACAAAATAAAATATTAGACTGTTGGCCTTATGGAGGGAATATAGGCCCTTATGATATTGTTAGGTTCCAAGAAATTCCTTTCTCCAAAGCCTGGCATTTAGGCAAAAGCCAGCATTCCCTTGGGATTTAAGAAGACAATTGTACTTGCTAAAAGGAGTCCTTAACCTTGGCCAAAGTGACATATAGCTCTTCCATTAACCTATGCCTGTGGTGCCTATTACCACATCAAGGTCTGTGCTAGCACCTGGGCTCCCTCAGCCCCAGCTTGGTATACCCTGCCCCCTACCCTAAACCTCTCCAGTTCCTGAGCTTCGCTTCCCCACCCCAGCTTCTCTTCCCCATATAAGTCAGTCATTTTGGATACACATTCTCTAGGTTCCCTTCTTGGTTCTGCTCTTGACTCCTCTCTGGACCTCTCTTGTTCTGTTTTCCCTCTCTCTTCTCTTCCCCCCTCATGGGCCAGTTCAGTGTGGACTCTTCCAGATGCCTCTGGCTATGCCTCCCTCCTATCTACAATAAAAACCTTCTCCTCAACCACACCTAGGAATGGCCATGTTCTTATTTTCATTCAGGTGTGAAGAGAAGTATTTACATATATAGTAACATGTCTACTCTAGACACACAGGCAGTTTGAGGGTGAACATCAGAAATTCAGGTGATTGTGGTGTGTAACCAGGATTGGAAACACTGTTTTGCCACATATAGCCTCCAGACAACAAATATAAATATAAAAGTGAAACATACAACATATGAAGCTTATGAGAGAAGGTGGAAGCACTAGAGAGACCGTGTTGCTGCCACAAAGAGAGAAGAGCTGGTTAATGATAACTTGACTTGTGTTTCTTTTGTTTTATTGTTTGTTCATGTGTTTGTTGTTTGTTTGTCTGTTTTTGTTTTATAATTGTGTGGAAGCTGTATGGATTCATTAGAAACCATACTTGGAATTTTGATCATTTCTCAGGCTGGTGATAGGTGGAGACACAGAGAAGCCACAGATAGCCATAGCCCCAGTCACCTCAGCACTGTGCTGCTCATCTACTTGGTAGATGTATCAATGCATTTCCAACTGAGAACATTTTCAACGTACATTTCACAGTATGTTTTCAATTTACTTGTAAATGGAAAATGTCCTAAGTAGGAAATGCATTTAGATCATGGTAGGTTAGGGAGCCCAGTGAGAAGCAGTGGGAGAGAGATGGGATTTACTTACCAGCCTGGCCTTCCGACCTTCTCCAGTCTGAAGCAGCAAAGGAAAAGGGGAAATAGAAAGTCAGGACACCACACTACATTTGTGTCACAGTTATCTGATTCTCCCTTCCCTCACCGCCCACACAGTCAGCACAGTTCCAGCGTGGGTGTCATACTTTGTTGGGAGAGGAGAGGATACATGGACAGCCAAATGCAAAAATGGGACAGGAAGGAATAGTTCTAGGGATGGAGGGCACTTACCAAGCTCTGTCTGAAGTCTTTCTGCAAGCAAAACAGAGAGAAACATAACCCTTTGATGCAAAGGTCTATAATCTCAAACCACTTCTGGCTGCAACTCTATCCTTTGATGCTACATTGCCCTGAGAAAGAGGCTCATCCCCAGCATTCCAGAACCTTTATTCTACCTTCATTTCAGAGGAAGGAATCAACAGGCACTGGGCCAGGGAGGGAAAACAAGCTTGGTTCTAAAAGGTTTTTTCCCAAGGCTCTGATCTGGTTGGAGGGGGTTCATTCTTCCTAAAACTACAAGATTTTCCTGGTGTGTGCAGGGAGAGGTGGGGGTGGGGAGGCAGAAGAATGAGCCCAGATACCGAGCACAGCCTATGTTATTTTGGGGGGGTCATTTGCTGAATACTTTGTTTAAAGACAGGAAGGACATGACAATTTTTCTCCTGGCTAGATGGAAAGGCTCTGACTCTGCTACTAGAACAGGGTGCTCTGTTCTCTCCATCTTTTGTACTCTTTTAAAAGCAATTAATATACTAATTCAGAATGTGATGTTGATTCATTAAAATGGTTTTGCTTGGTAGGACTGAATAGGCAGCAAGACAAGGCTCTCTACTTTTTCTGTTTCATCTGGAGTTTTGACAGGGCAGGAACATTTTGGTTCTCTGGATTTTCATTCTATTATGGGGGCCTTCTCCATTTCCCCATTCTTTGGGATCTCTCAACCTCCTTTGGTCTTTTGAGACAGGGTCTCTCTGTGTTGTATGGTCTGAAAGTTATGAACACTCTTGGGTCTGTCTCACTAGTGGAATGCTGTGATTGCCAGTCTTTACCAAGGATCTCAGGTTCCTCCCTTTCCTTTGTATGGCCCTCCTCTATACCACACTCCTTCATGGTTTTTAGTTGGTGTGTTCTAATGAGAGGAAAAGTAATTTACCAGAGCTTTCCCATTTTACTGCAAGTTCAAGGGTCATTCTTCACAGTGGTATTTGGGTAAAAAAGAAAATGATAGACTCCAGGAACATGAACTGGAGGAAGTAAATACTCTAGGAGGATCTGTTCAGAGGTTCTTCTGTTGAATGAACCCTGAAGCCTGGGCACCCACAGGCAGCCCATCTCAGTCTGATTGAGGAAGGAGAGGCACCCACAGGTGGATGGAGAAGCAGATGGATGTCATCCTTCTCTTCCTCAAAGGAGCCCTTTTTCTTGGGTGCCCTTTTCTGCTCCAGAGGTGGCCAGCTAAACACACTTGCCCTGCAGCCTGCTCTGTGATGAAGAACCCAGAACTTACCCAACCGTGCAGTCAGTCTTTCTGGAGACAAAAGGAAAAAAGATGTTCTCAGAGTGGGGAACGACCAGACAGGGCAGGTTATAAACACCGGGACCTCGCTCCCCCAAAGTGTGCATACTCAGCCCTGTGCATCTGGAAGCCAGCCTTGGTGCCTGGACACCGTCAGTCCAAGCAAACCCTGTTTTTCCCTCTCTCTTCCCTCCTCCTAGACGCCCCCTCCAAGACTGAGGTCTTGTTTTGGAAACCCAGCGGGTTCCTGGGCCCTGCTCCAGGATGTGGGGAGAGGGCACCTCTGCTGGCTTACCTCTGTCCTTCTCTCCCTGCTTCTTCAGCTTCTCTGAAAGGAAGAATGAATGGGGGGACAGCTAAGTATTGCCTGCCTGAAACAAGGTATCCTTCCTGTCTGGGTCGCCTCCATGCCTCCCCACATCCCACCACTTTCCTGCTGAGAGATTAGCAGCTAAGCTTCCCAGTAGGTAGACAGTTTGGGAGAGGGATCCTGGCTAGATTTCTCTGCTGCCATTCGTTGTGCTTCAGATTTTTCCTGCCTTTTAATTTTTTAACTGGCAGAGAAAACCAAACGGGTCCAGACCCCTAGAAGGCGTGGCTACAGAGCAAAACCAACTGCAGGACCTGACCCATACCTTGGGAGCATCGCTGCTTGTAGAAGTACTGCAGCGCCAGGATGGTGAGCACAGCCAGACTGAGTGGGAGAGCCACCAGGGTTCCCAGGAACGCTTTCTTCCAGGGGGACGTTCTGGGTAGGAATACGTCTGCAAAACGTATCACATGGTGTTTGTTGTCTCCACTTAGGCTCCACTAACCACTAAAACAAGGCTATATAGGACCTCACATCCCAGAAAGTCTTGAGTAACCTTAGCGTGGCCAGTTACACTTTAAGCGGGAGCCCTTGTAGCCAGGTGTGAACTGGACGTGAGGGCAACTGCACAGCCTTCACTCCAAGTAGGGTCAGGTGCAATGGCAGGACTCGGACAGGAAAGCAGAAGGGAGGGCTGTGAACCGAAGCTAAAGCACGAGTCCTGGTATGCCCTACATCTCTTACAACTGGGTGTCCACTTCTTCTGGCTCTAATCCTACACTTGAATGAATCCAGAATCCAAAGCTTTGATTTTGAAAACAAGTGATTTGTTGTTCGTGGTGGGGGGGGGGGGGCGGGGTCCTGTTTCCCAACATTTATCTCAGTTCTCAGTTCTCACACCACTGGAAGAATTCCCAACAAAGCCAATAGCTGTTTAACCACGTCAGTTCCCCAAGCAATTCCTAAGGGTAGGATGCAGCTTGGGGCCAGGGCAGCTCCAAGGGTGACCAAAAGGGCAAAACTGGAGCAGAAACATCTGTGTCAGTTTAATAATTTTTGTGTCTGTGTGATCTAATTATTCAAAGGTAATGCTTTATCAGAAGGGTGTTTCTTTAAGAAATATGTTTAACTTTTAAGTATAGTAAATTGAGGCTGAGGTCACAGTGATTAAAAGCCAGACCCTCTTTGCTCTTCTGGGGTCTCATGTGAGAGATAGGCTTTGTATCAAGGAGCTAAACCCCAGCCCTCATCTTAGCCATGCTTTACTGTACAGAAGAGTGACATTAGGTAAACCAACGTGTTGTGTACCTATCATCAGTGTCCATTTCTAGAAAGTTTTCATCATCTCACACTGTCCACTGAACACTAACACCTCATTCACCCTTGGCCTCTAGACTCTTCACAACCACTATTGCACTCTCTGTTTATATGAACTTGACTGCTCTGGATACATTATGTAAGTAAAGTCACACAGTAATTTTTCCTTTTGAGTCTGGCTTATTTTGCTTAGCATCTGTAGTCTTTTTTGAAATGTTGGCTTTCTAGAACTCTGTTTTCAAGGTCTTGTATGAAGGGGTTGGTCACACTAGATTTATCCTTCATATACAACTTTCACTGGGAAACCTGCTCTCTCCCTGACTTGGTGGCTAGCCCTTTGGCCCTCAGTTCCAGCCCCTGTGGTCTCCCCACCTGATATCCATTAACAACAGTGGACATGCACAAGTATGTACAGATCTAAATGTCTATATATTTATGCTTAATAATAAACTATAAATTATATATATATATGTATATATATCCATATGTATATATATATGGATATAAAAAGAAAACAAGGGAAGGAAGAAAAGTCAAATTTTTCCTGATACTAAAAGAAATCCATAGCTCTAAGGTTCTCTTTCGGATTTTTTTTTTTTGCAAGTTCTTTTTTCCTTTGAAATGCATGTAAATCTACTTGAAAGCTAAACAACTTTTACAGTTTTATAACCCAGGACTGTTGTTCTTCAGGACCATCTATTTGTCATGCAAACATCAAGGACAAGATACCCAAATCCCTTTTGCTCTGGCAATTTAAATTTAGGGTTCAGCTTCAGGTTATAACTTCATGCTTACCTTAGAGATCTGGATACTTTACTTTCCTTTTGGATAAAGACAGCTAGCACAGATTTCCCCACCACCCAGTTATCAGGGAGATTCAGGATGAACTGTGCATGTCACATGAGGCTGCCAAGTCAACCTACTTAAGGGCTTGTTACAGTTTGTCTTAAGATCATGCATACAGTAGATTGCATCTGCCTGATACAAAGGAAGATGGTATTTTTCTAACTATTGATTTCCATTTATAGGAAAAATAACCCACAGGTTATATTTGTCTTCAAGGCTTGAAACGATAAGGACTTGGGGGGCTGGAGAGATGGTTCAGCACTTAAGAGAACTTGCTGCTCTTCTACAAGACCTATATTTGGTTCTCAGCACCCACATGGAGGCTCACAACCATTTGTAACCTCAATTCTAGAGGATCTCATGACCCCTTCTGGCATCTGAGAGCACCAGACATGCAATTGGTGCATAGACATACATGCAGGCAAAACAGCCATACACAGAAAATAAAATAAAACAATAAACAATAAACTGTGAAGCCAAGCAATGGCTGAAATTTCAACTCTGCCTGAACATCTGCTTAGCTGAATCACCTTTTTATGATCCAGAGCTACATGATGTTACTCCCAGGTGCCTTTTCCTGCTTCTCAGTTCTCTCTAGTACTACCGCCTTCTAGGGCTTGCTACTCTTTACTCATCTCATCATCTGAATCCCTCCCTGGGATGGGAGCCAGAAGGTCAGGATTTGGAGTTCTACCAACGGTGGCTTGAGGGATGATGCTAGGCACAGATGATTTCCCATGGTGATCTATAATGAACTTCATGAGTCTGGTACATGACCTTTGGTATAGAAATGCTGCTGCCCTGAGCCTCCTCACTTACTACTTAGTTGTCAGCTATACTCTCAGAGTTACTCTTAGCCAAGTAGATTCAGGTTTCAAAACCAACCGAACCCATACTCAGCCAAGTCTCAGAATCCTTGGGTCCCTACAGACCACCTCTGGGCCATTCAACAAAGAGATTTGATGATTAGAAAGACATGTGTGAGCCAGTGCCTACTGACCTGCAACCTGGAGCACAAACTCTTTCTTCTGGGCCAGCAAGGGGTTCTGGATTGAGCAAGATACTTTGCTATGAGCCCCTCCTCGAACAATCACAGATGTGTCCAGACTGAACAGGCCCTGGGCATTCTGGACAATGGCTTCAGACTCTGGAGGAAGGCACTGCCCCTGGTGGTCTCTCCACTGAGCCTTTGGAACTGCATCGCAGCTGAATGCCTCCTTCCTTGAAGCCCTCAAGGGAGATGTGTGGGTCTGAGCCTAACCCTGGGAAAGCAGGAGTGTGAAAGATCAGACTCACTTCTAGAAGCTATGCATAAAGTTCATGCCACTGTTCACCATCTGAGGTGATTATGAGATGCCAGCAACACGACTCTTCTTACAATGTATGTGAGCTCACAGCCCTCCAGCTATGAACTGCCAAAGACAGTTTAGATTAGGCAGGGACATTAGGAAATATTCAGAGGAGAGCTATATGCATTTAGTTATATTGTGTAATAAATGACCCCACCTCAACGAAGAATAATCTCACCCAGAATTCCAAGACTATCCTCTGTTAGTTCTCACTAGATCTCAAATGCCTATGGTATGTGCAATCCTTTCCCAGTCAAATAGAGCTGGCTCTGTTATCTATCTAGCTATCATTTGCCAATTAAGTATCAATTTATGTGCTAGGGGTCAAACCCAGCTCTTGTTCATCTAGGTAAACATTCTATCACTGAACTGTATCCCCAGCCATATGTTTTAAATTTGCAAAATATTAATATATGTGTATGTATATGTGTACAATATATCCTGAGTCCATTTTTGTTGGTGGGATATATGGTTTCAAGGCTGACCACTCTGCATATATGTAACAATAGCACTCAAAGATAAAAAAGGCTAGCAACTTGCCAGTGGAAGGCATTTGAGAGAAGGTTGCTGGGAAGGGTTGGAGAAAAGGAAAGAAGGGGAGAAAAGTGATGTAATTCTATTTCAATCAAAACCATATTGAAATGTTAATGTTGTTTAAATATAAATAATGTATAAGATACATACCAGGAAGGCCCCAGGCCTTTCTCCATCATTTTTTATTCCCTACAACCTCACTACTTGGGGGATCAAATTCTATTAGCTTCTACCTTGTACTTCTCACATTTCTTTCTATGATATCCCCTTTATTTCTTGTGCATGAAAATGTACATCATCAAATTTCTTTTGCATGTTGTTTTCCTGTCTTACTAATGGACTCTAGGAATCACTACACATCTGTTCACTGAGCTCCTTGTCTTTCTAGCTTCAGAATGTGGACAGTGATGACGGACCACATCGGGCTCCTTTGTGTTTGTTGTATTTAGGAAGCTTCAATGCTCAAGAAATTCTAAGTAACACTACAAATACTAATCTTGCACTAATGCCTATTATATCTCCAAGTTACTTTGTCATTACAGACTAAAATTATATTTTCAGCTGTCTTAGTAATTTTTAATGAATGTATTCTCCCTTTTATTTGCTGTATATGGATTTGTTGGGATGCCTTTTCTCTTTTTAACTCTTTAAAAACTGGAACCAGGAATTGAACCACGGTCTTGGGCGTGCTAGTCAGGCACTAGATCTCTGAAGTATCCCTCTATGCCCCGCTCAATGTTTTAATACATTATGTTTGTTTGTTCTCGATCCGAGATTCCCTGTGCGCGTTTGTCTCCTTGAGTATAAGGCAGTTCTATCCAATCCCATCCTTTTCTCTGTCTCCTGCTCCTGACTGGCTCCAGAACATACCTGCTACTTCCAGTTCCCACGTGGCTACACCAGAGAAGTTGTGAGAAAGAAAGCGGCACCCATATTGGCCCTCGTCGGAAGGAACCACGCTGAGGATATGTAGGATCACGCTACCATCTGCAATGTCGTTAGCTTCGAAAATGGTCCTGTTGCGGAACTGCATCATCTGCGGGCTGGAGAGCCCCTGCTGTTCCTGGTACAGGTACACCACGTTTGAGACCTGGGTCTGGAACCAGCGGATCTCCATGTGCTCTGCATCCTGGTATGGTGACAAGTGGCACGGGAACTCCACCGTTTCCCCGACAAGGGCCATCAAGGACTCGCCAGGGCCCAGCACCTTGAACTCGTCTAGGACAATAATCCAAAACAATGGCCAAGATCAACCTACTTCAAACCTAAGTTAAAAAACAAAAACAAACAAACAAACAAAAAACTTCCCTTTGCAGATTAGAAATCTACAGCAAACTATGCAAATGACAACGATGAATTGTTCTCCAAGAACAACCTGTGTGGTTTCCTGGAGAAGACATTGTCATAAAAAAAAAAGTTGGAGTATGAGTTAAAATGCATATATACACACATTCCAATCAAGTGCACTGTGCAGGGCTGGACTGGACTGGTTACCGGTTTGAATCAATCAAGAGTAGATTATATCTGGGGAACTGTATAGTCAGAGGAGCACACTAAATGCAACGTTTGATCAAAAAAATCCATATTATTTGGAATAGAGAATTGTGTATTTGTGTAAATGCACCAAGAAAAAGATTTTAAAAGAGAGACGCTATATGACTGATGTGGTGAATTCTGTGCAATGAGAATGGAAAGTCTTATTTTGCCCGTGTCTTAGTTAGAATTTCTGTTGCTGTGATAAATACCATGACTAAAAGCAAAATGAGAAGGAAAGGACTCATTTCCTCTTACAGGTAAGTCAGGGCAGGAACTCAAGGCAAGGACCTAGAGGCAGTAACTGAAGCAGATATCGTGGAGGAGTGCTGCCTACTGTCTCTGTTCTCTACAGACTGCTCAGCCTGTTTCTTATATACCCCAGGACCCCCAGACCAGCGTGGCACCATACACAGTGGGCCGGGCCCTCCCATATCAATTATTAGTTTTAAAATGCCACAGGCTTGCATGCAGGCCAATCTTATGGAGGCATTTTCTCAAGTGCACTTCCCTTCACTCAGATATCTCTGATTCGTGTCAAATTGGCAGTAAACTAGCCAACACAGGCAGTTTTCACAGTGTTTATCAATAGAATACACATGCACAGTCTCTATAAAAACAGAATATATGTGGAACATAATCTATGGGGTTCTCTGCTCTGTGTGTTTTCATATTTAAATGCCTAATAAATTCT